TATCCTTTCCCACGGAAATTACAAGTACCATTGATTTCAGCTGCTAAGTAGGACACGAAGCTTAGCTCAAATTAATAAGTAGTGCTCACCTCCCATTGCACAACTGGAAATGCGTTTTTTAAAACTCTCATCTGAAAACATGGGATGAAGCAATCATTACAACGATCACTTATGACCAATAAGGAATAAAGAAAAGCCCATCCCATGCTGCAGAAGTAATGGATTGAAAGAAGGACTGACACAACGAAGCCCACTTCAATAGCTAAATTAACGCATTAAGAAGAGCTTCTATATGCTATCATAAGGTAGGATGGCATAAAGCATGAGAACCTAGGATCGGCCTATCCGGCAGGAACTGGGGTGAAACAGCCTTAGAAAAGCAGAAGCCCTACCAGTAAAACAGTACCAAAAGCCACTCCTCAAACAAAATCCATATGCTCCAAGGCATAAAAGAGTAATATCACACTCTCTCCACCTCAGAGCGCTCAACCCGTGTCATTAACATTAACTAAACCAGGATACCCACTTGTTGGTAAGCACACAGCTGAGAAGACAAGGGCAGGAGAGAACCCTGAAGAAACGTCGTATGTGCAGTTCAGAGTGGATAACCTGGATTCACAGCACTTTACGGGTAAACAGCCGCTTTCAAACTTATTACCCCTTCCCTCAGGTCGCCTACATGACTTGCCAAACATCTAAGAGGCAAAACTGGAACAAAACAGGAATCTTACTCCTTGACTACCTCCTGTAATCACTAGATGACATTGGCCAGAGAACTAAAAACCAGGCAAACACATCTAAACACTGCTTAACTTCAGTCAACGGAGGTGAGGCGTTAAGGGTCCTCACGGATTTGGGCCTAACCACCCAAGTCTGTAAGACGAGTCTCGCTCTCTAGGAAGAAGGACGGCTGGCGTGATGCAGAGGATGCGGTTAGCGGCCCAGCTAGGAAGGCACAACACGTTTCTACCGAAGGAGCAGACAAAGACCACGGGTACCCGACTCTTCGCAGCTAGAAGGATGACTTTCTCACTGTGTCATCAGGCATCGTCCCTTGGGCCAAAGCGGGGCGACTCTATCATACAGCTGCCGGGGTTTTGTCCAGCGTGACGTGAAGCGTCCCGAGCAGAGCGGGTCTCCGGTGGGACGGGGGATGAATTAGCAGCAGCGCAGCCATCGCCCTGGACGACGGCGACGAGCTTCCTCCCGCACTTCCAGCGGCTTGGGGACGGCTCTCGCCCCTCCCGGCCCCCTTCACCCAGGCTCAGCCTGCCGTCTCCTCCCGGTCACCCCCCACGCAGCTCCCCCAACCCCGCCAGGC